CACACACACACTCATTCACACATACATACACAGACACAGACACAGGCGCACAGGCGCACAGGCGGCGCACAGGCGCACAAGCGCACACGCGCACACACGCACACGCGCACACGCGCACACAAGCGCACACGCGCACACGCGCAAACGCGCACACGCGCACACGCGCACACGTGCACACACGCACACACGCACGCACGCACACGCGCACACACACACCCACACACACACACACACACGCACGCACACGCACTGCACGCACGCACCCGCACGCACACGCACACGCACACGCATACACCAATCACGCGCACGCTACACACGCCACACACACGCACACACACACGCGCGCTCACACACACACTCACACGCGCTACACACACACCGCACACAAAACCACGCGCACACACACACGCCACACACACGCATCACACACGCACACACACGCACACCATCACGCACACACACACACAGCCATACACACACACACACGCGCACCACAACACACACACACGCACACCACACACGCACACACACGCACGCTCACGCACACACACAGGACACACACACGCACACACACCACGCACGGCGCACACATCACACGACACCGACGCCACACACACGCACACACACACACACACACGCACACGCACACACACACACACGCACACACACACACACACGCACACACACACACGCACACGCACACACACACACGCACACACACACACACACGCACGCACACACACGCGCACACACACACACACGCACACACGCACACACACAGACACGCACGCGCGCGCACACACGCACGCACGCACGCACGTCCACACACACACACTCATTCACACACACACTCACACACACACTCTTAGGTCGGGCATGTCCCCCCACAGGCGGAGTTTGGAAGAACCATTAAAAAGAGTCAAACCATGATCCAAACTAGTTAAACATAGTCAACAATGAAATAATATAGAAATCGTCCCCAGGCTATTTTTGGACTATTCTTGAATATCCCCCCTTGCCCGACGTAAACACACAAACACACTCACAATCACAAGCACAAACATAAGCAGACACAAACACAGACACAAACATGAACACAAATACCCACACCACAACCAACACTCAGACCAAGACCAACGCAAGCACAAACACAACAACTGATACACACAAACACACAACCACAAACACATTCACAAAAATAACCACAACCACAAACACAAATACAGCAGCAACAACAACACCGACACACATGCAAAAACAACAACAAACACAAGCACAAGCACAAGCATAACCACAAACATGACCACAACCACAACACACACAATCACAAACACACACACACACACACGCACACACTCAGCCCCTCACTGGGCGGAGAGAGGCCTCCCGTCGGGTCAACCCCCTAAGTACCCCATGAGGGTGGAGCGGTGGGGCTGGGATGACGTGGCCCAGCGGGGACGGTCAGGAGGCAATTACTGTCGGCGGTGGACAAACCTCCCTTGTGTGGAAACGGCCTAGGACCGAAACCGACGGACCCGGACAAGCAAAAATGACGGCCGCGACGCCCTCTCGCGAACCGAAAACGTCCAATTCACTAATCGACGTGTCAGGGTAGGAGGTCAATCAACCTCCGATACTGGGGGTGGTCTTCGTCTAAAAGATGGAGGATAATGAAATCCCATTGGTGGGCTGTTATGCCAGATTGGGCCGCGGATTCAACGGGACCGAGCCAGATTAAACGGGATTCGTCGGGATGAAGCCGGAGTTGGGGCCAGGGCAAAGTCAGAATTTGACCTCCCAGGAGTTACATCCGAAGGATTGGGATCGGTGAGACGATGCCAAGATGCCAGGATCAGTCAGCATCGAATCGGATCGAATGGGATGAACCCGACGTCGAACGGGGTCGATCGAATCAAGATGAACTGTGGGTGCTGACTGACGCTGCCCCCGAGGCGCACACAGGCCGACACCCCTCTCATTCGCCTGCTAGGGAGGGTCAGACTTCAGGGGCTCAGAGTCAGCCAAACGAAAGCCAAAGGAAAGCACCTGTTCTGAGAGAAGCACGATCCTGGGCGAGGAGGTTCCAAAGAAATTGCCCGAAGGAGGAGCAAAACTGAGAGCTGCGCTATGATTTGCGACGGACAAGGCCCCGAACAAGGGAAATCCAGGGAATTGGGCTCGTTTTGCCGATCCCTAGAAGTAGAGGCCTCCAAGATGGGGTCGAAGCAGATGGGTTCGGAGGATCGAACTGCATCGGCGATGCATCGGCGATGCTTTGGCGATGCATCGGCGCCGTCGGCGTGGAGAAAATCGGGTTCCACATCGAGCCGGATCGCCGATGCATCGGCGATGCGGCGCGCTCCTCCGACCCCATCCACTCGGACCCCACCTGGGAGTCCTAGAATCGAGGAACATCCACGGCATTGAGCTCACCTTTGCCCGACCCCCAGAAGGCTGACCCCAGTAGCGATCTCTTTTCAAACCCCCACTGTGCACTGCTCGGGCGGGTGGTACTGGGGGTGACCTAATTTTGGGTGGGTGAAGAGACGGGCCCCTTGAGGGCCCCTCTTGTCACCCCCTCTTCAGGCCACCCCCATGACCACCCGCCCGACGCAGCACCTCTCCGCTCCGCCTCCGGTCCCGTCGTCGACGATGCTCGTTCGATGCTGCACAGTAGGCCATTTGACCCGACGCTGCCCCCGAGGCGCACACAGGCCGACCCCCCTCTCATTCGCCTGCGAATGGGGGTCAAACTTATGGGGGTGAGAGCCAGCGAGGGGCAGACTGACAAAAACACGTAATTCGGAGAGAAACCTGGCCGGGGCGGAGGGGCTCCAAAGATACTTGTCAAACGGAAGCGCAAGCGCAGAGCTCATTATGCTCACCTCTGCCCGCCACCCACAAGGCTGACCCCCATCAGTCGGGGGTCTAATTACTGACCCGGCCGGGTCAGCACAAACCCGGGCCAGTCAGGCTTTGCAAGATCCTGCAGGATCCTGCGCGCCAGCCGGGGCCAACGCAACCCTAATTCTGCAGGATCCTGCAGGATCCAGCACCCTGGCTGGCCCCCGTTTGCATGGGCCTTCCCAGCGGCAGCTGGCACTGCAGGCGAAGGACCCTCGAGCGCTTTTGTTTATTCGCGGCCATAACGGGCGTTATGGCGGGGTGGGGGGGGGAGGGCGGGAGGGGGCATAATGTAGCGCCTCCCCCCCCCCCCCTGGACTGTCCCCAGACTGCGGCAGTGCACGGGGCGCGCTTAGGGGGGGAGCGTTACGTTATGGGGGGGGTGCATCGGCGATGCATCGGCGATGCAGCGGCGACGTCGGTGATGCATCGGCGACGTCGGCGTAGAGCAAAGTGGCCACCGCATCCAGCCGCATCGGCGATGCATCGGCGATGCGGCGCCATCCTCGGGCCCAATCTACTCGGACCCCATCTTTGAGCAGGGACCGACCGTCCCGGCATTCCTATATGCCTACCACGAAATGTTTTTAGAACCGCAGATGTGTGAAAACACGACAGTCTCAGCCAGAACTGTTCTAATAACATGTCTGCAGACCACACAAGGTTCTTAGAGCATTCTTCGGTGGGCCTATAGGCGAGCCAGGACGCTCGGCCACTGCTTGGCGCCTCAAGGCTCTCCTGGCACTGCAGGCGAAGGGCCCTCCCGGCGGCAGCGGGCGCCCTCCTGCACCCGCCGCAGCCGCGGCAGCTCGCCCTCGAGGTACTCGCGGCAGGCGGCGCGCACCGCGGCCCGGGCGCCCTGCAGGCGCGGGCTGCCGCTGGTCGGCGTCGTCGTCGTCCATCGTCGTCCTCCTCGCCCTCCTCCTCCTTCCTTCTCCTCCACGTGCTCATGGCCCCGCCCTTGTCCCGAGAGAAATGGCTGAGGGAGGGAAGGGGAAGGAGGGGGCGAGGGGGAGGGGAGGAGGATGAGGAGGAGGGGGAGGAGGAGGGGGAGGAGGAGGAGGAGGAGGAGGAGGAGGAGGAGGGGGAGAGGAGGAGGAGGAGGAGGAGGAGGAGGAGGAGGAGGAGGAGGAGAGGAGGGGAGAGGAGGAGGAGGAGGAGGAGGAGAAGAGAGAGGAGGAGGAGGAGGAGGAGGAGGAGTGAGAGTAGGAGGGGGAGGATTGCTCGCGGTGCGCCTCCTTGGCAGCCAGGCGGCTCCCTCTCGCTGGAGGGAGGGTGGGCACGGGGGCGGAGCTCGTCACCCTCGCACTCGTCCCCGCCGTGCCGTCATGCAGCGCTGGACGGCTCGGCATGCGACCGAAGTCGAGGCCTGCCCCCAAAGGAGCAGAGAAGGGAGGAGTACACTGGCGTCGCGCACAGGGGGGTGGAGGGAGGGGGGAGGGCTTCTTAGAAGGGGGTGGAGGGAGGGGCGAGGGCTTCTTAGAAGGGGGTGGAGGGAGGGGGGAAGGCTTCTTAGAGGGAGGCCTGCCCCCGGAGAAGAGAAGGGAAACGAACAATGACATAAACATAAAATCTCGGAGGTCCGCGCGGATTTCTCGGATCGGCGCTGGGGCCCCCTGGCGGCGCCTCCGGCGCCGCCCCTGGCGCGCTCCGCGCGCCAGGGAGGGGGGTCCACAGCGCCGATCCGAGAAATTCGCGTGGACCTCTGAGTTTTTATGTTCATGCCATCTTTCGTTCCCCTAGAAGAGAAGGGAGGAGTACAGTAGGGGCCCGACCACAAGAAACCTTCCACAAGAGACCCAACCCATGAGACCCCAGGGCGTCCATGGACTCTTGGTGTGGGGATGCCACGGCTTCCACGGCACAGCGCTCGAAAGCCAGGCAACCCCAAGAAACACCCCGGAGGCGAGCGGGGTGCTTCCTGGCATGGGCCTCCACTGGCAGGAGCGGCGGAGCGCGAGCGGCCCACTGCGTGCCGAGCGGGGGGTCGCGCGAGGCGGCGGCCCGCCCGAGCAGCAGCTTCGAGGGGCTGCCGCACGCAAAGTCGCACGGGAGGAGCCCCGGCAGCGAGAGGCCCCCGGCAGGCGAGGCGCTGGCCGGGCCCGCGTGCCCACCTGATGAGGAACATCCTAAGGAAGCCTCGCGAGGCAGCTTGAGGCCAAGTTTACGTCGGCTCCACGTCGGATTCACGTCGGGCTCACGTCGGAGACCACGGCGGAATTGCGTCGGATTTGCGTTGGACTGACGCCAGAGCATCGCCGCGCAGGCGTCGACCCTTAGCTTACGGAGCTGACGTGTGGACCAGATAATACAACTACCAAGAGGCCTCCCAAGAGGGCCCCAACAGGCAGAAGCCATGGATTTTCGATCTAGGCTTTGAAGATCAAGGTCCTGAGATCCGGGCGCCGCCATTTTTCCGGCCGGGCGCTCTCTCGCCCAGCTTCGGGCCCCAGGCTCGGATGAGGAGGGGGAGGACCTCCTCTACTACGCGCCGCGCGAGACCTCCAGGATTTCCCTCGTAACCCACCCGCACCAAGGCGGCTGCGGAGCTCGGCACCTGCTGCGGAGCGGCGCAGGCGAGCGGCGCCAAGCGCGCGCGACCACGGGAGCCGCCCGAGGCACCGAGGAAGGTGCAGAAAGACGCGGGTGCGGAGGGCGCGGGCAGAGAAAATCCGAGCCCAGAGTCCCGAGGAGGAGGAGGGGGAGGAGGCGGCGGCGGAGGAGGAGGCGGCGGAAGAGGAGGAGACGGCGCTGCCCTCGCCAGATGGGTTCCGCAACTGCTGATGCGCCATCCCGTCGGCCTCTCTGCGGTTCCGTCGCTTCACTCCGTGATGCGTCCGTGCGCTTCCAGGACCGTGCCGTGGCCTCCGTTTTGACCAACTCTGCTCCCGAATTCCGATACGCCATTGCCCGAAAAGGGGGTGTGCGAACAAGGAGAGGCGGGGCTCCTCATCATTCTTTGCTCAGAACCGCCTTGGCGAGCTGCCCTGGGTCCACCCCAAATCTCCCTTTGACGCAGCCTGGCTCCATTTTGGACTGCCGCAAGAAGTACGGATGCATCGATCCGCTAGAAGGACCACATGTTTGAGCATGGACCCCACACAACAAGTTACTGCACCCTGGATGTCTGAGCAGCGTGGTGCCTTACATGTGGTGAAAGCTATGCGGTGCAAATCTTGTTCACGCTGAGTGGTGCAATCCATGCTGTGCAAGCTGTGAAGACCAAGTGTCGGCGGCGGGCGAGGGGGGGAAGTGAGAAGGGGCGGGCCTTCTCAGAAGGCTCGGAAGTCCCCCAGCCTTCTGAGAAGTTTCTGAGCCTTCCCCGAAGACAGAATAACCTTACGGAAGGTCGAAGGCCTTCTGAGAAGCCCCGCCGCCTTCTGAGAAAGCGTTCTCCTTCTCACTTCCCACCCTCGCTCGCCGCCGAATGTGGCGTAAACCGTGTGGTACAAGCTGTGTGTGGTTGAACTGGAACTTCGGGGATGGACAGAACCCCCTTCATAAAACGTGGCTTCGTGACAGCGAGCTCGGGCCCAGACCCGGCGGGCGCAGCCCTGGGAAATGCCGGCCGCGGCGCCCCCTCGAGAACCGAAGGCGGACAAGTCGCTGATCGACGTGCTGGCCATCGCTCGGACGTCCATTCCCTGTGTTTTTTTCGGTTTCGTGCGTGGTTTTTTCGCCAAATGGTCGAGGATACGCCTCGATGGTCCTCGCCGAGAAAAAAATGCACACGTCCCAGCGACGCCAAGCGTGCGGGCGGGGGGGGCCTCTGCCCACCCCCCGAGGAGCCGAGGACGGCGCGCGCGAGGCGCCCACGCCGCGCCCCCGACGCGGCGACGGGGCGACCGCCACCTGGCACGCGGCCGCGGCGCGGGGCGCCCCCGGAGGCGATCCCACGGCCGGCGCCCGTGCGGGCAGTATAATGCTTCCCGTGCCCACGGCGCCTTGGAGTTTTTCGGGCTCCCCTCCTGTCGGGAGCGGCCAAGAGGGGGGTGTCCAAGAGGGGTGTGTGCAAATCATGACCGGCGGCATGTGCGCGGCCCAGCGGGGGGGCCAGGGACGTCATGAAATAAGAGGGGGCGCCACGAGATCTGGGGAAATATCATGGCCCACGACATGATATCCACCCCCCCTAGTCATCACCACCCCCCTCTTTTCCGCCCCCGATCCTGCGATGCAGCGAGGCGCCGTGGTCAGATGCTCGTCCACATCCACCGCGCCGCGGCCTCTTGGCGCACCTTCCCAGAAAGTCCAAGACGCTGTGGACATGGATAGAGAAGTTATACCAAAGAAAAAAACCAATCAGTGGATGGTTTTCGCTGAGGAGATCGACCGGGAACCGGGGAGCCCGGGAACCCAGAACCCACCGAAGTCGACCCGGAACCAATAACAAGGAACCCGGTAACCCGGAACCGGGAACCCGGGAACCCAGCCTGCTCGCAAGATCGGCGGAAAACGTTCGCCACATCCTTCAACTTCCGCCAGGACCCCTTCAGTTCAAGCACAGCTTCTGGGGAATTCCAAGACGCAGTGTATATGGATAGTTACTCCAGATTTCGTAATAAAAGGGAGGGGGTCTGGACCCTCCAAGACAAGCCATTTCAGACCTCCCCCGTGGGAGAACCCTCCAAAACATCGTCCCCAGACCCCCCCAGGCCCTCCAAGATAGCTTGGAAAAGACCCCCCCCGAAATGAGACCCCCCTCCCTTTATTATGAAATCTGGAGTAACTCGCGCCTGCAGCCTGGCCGCGAGACTCCGAAGTGCCACTCTTCGCACGGGGAGGGGGGGGGGGAGCCCGGGCAGCGCCCGCGGGCGGCGGCCGGGCCAGGTCCCCCAAGCAGCGCCAGCCAGCGCAGACGGGGCGCCTACTCCAGATTTCGTAATAAAAGGGAGCGGGTCTGGACACTCCAAGACAAGCCATTTCAGACCTCCCCCGTGGGAGAATCCTCCAAAACATTGTCCCCAGACCCCCCAGGCCCTCCAAGATAGCCTGGAAGAGACCCCCCCCCGAAATGAGACCCCCCTCCCTTTATTACGAAATCTGGAGTACGGAGGCGCCCCTGGGCGGCGACCTGGCAGAAGCCTGGAAACGGCCGCCAAACACTTGAGAGACCGAGGAGCCAACCATGTAGGGCAGGCGCAGCTGGGAGGGGGACGAAAACCCTGCGACATGCCCCACGAATTCGCAAGCACAGAGAAAACATGTGTGCAGATCCCACCGGCCCCGTGGGTTTTGGGTGGCGTAGCATTCGGTCGGGCATGCCCCCCTACAGGCGGATTTTGGGTGAAAAATTAAAGACACCCCCAAAATGCACCAGAAATGATCAATTTGCTCAACAAAAATCGTCCCCAGACTATTGGACTATTTTTGAATATTCCAACTGTAGAAGGACAGGACCGACTTAAGTTTTGGGTGGTGTAGCAGCTTCTTTCCTTCAGAGGCCTCCCATATGGGGTTGAAGCGCATGGGGTCTGAGGAAGTTGCTGCATCGCTGACGCATCGACGATGCGCGGGGGCGAAGCTCGAACCGCCTCGGCTCGCATCCACGACGCATCGCAGATGCATCGTGGATGCACATTCGAGATGCGCATCGAAACGATGGTCCGCAAATCGACACATGATTCAGCGGTGCATCGTGAATCCGCTGATGGAAACATGGAGCTGGGGATCGAGAAATGAATCCGCGAACCGAGAGATGAACCCGCGGATCGAAACACGAAGCCGCGGTTCGAAGGTTCATCCGTAGATCGAAAAACGGATCCACGGACTGAAAACATGTCATGGGTTTGATGGAAACCATGACCTAACAACGGAAAGATGAGTTCCGCGGATCGAGAACGAATCTGGGGATCGACA